GGTATATTACAATATACTACATCCAATGACCTTGAAACGTACCCGGTACGAATCAAGGGGGGTACTGATCAAGGGGGTACCTTGCATGGAAAATTACGGTATTTATATATATATCGACTTTTATTTTTTTATATTGAAAATCACTTTTCTCTTTTATTGTTATATATATAATTAATTAAAAAAAAAAATAATAAAAAAAATAATAATAATAAATGAAGAAGACACTTTAGAAAAAATTTTTAAAGGAATATCAGTGTGTTTACGTACATATATATGTACATAATTAATTATATGTATAATTAACTTGTTATATATATATATTAGAAAAAACATTTATTACTTGATATAGAGCCGCCTTTAATTTTTAAGTCACTTGATATTACTATGTCAGTACATAATGAAGACTCTAACTTTCCAAGCGATGAATTTGGCGATTTTATGAAATTGCTTATCAAATGGAATCTGTCGGATGTATGCGGGAATGAAATACTTAAGTTTGCAAAAAAATATCTGATAATAATGTAGTATTACCTACTTCAGTAAAACAAGGCCTTCAGTTTTTAGATCAAATAACAGTGCCACATGCCTCTTTTAAAAAAAGAACCTATTATGATTTATAAAGAAGAAACTTATTATCTTAACTATTGTTTAATCTTTGATGCTATCAAAGAATTGTTGAGTAATGAAAATATAATTAAACATTGCATTTTTAAATTTACTCCAGCATATCATAAAGGAGAAAGAATTTATCATGAGCAATATAGTAGAGACTGGTAGGAAAGAGCAGCAAAATCTATCCCGGAAGATGCAAATATTTTATCATTAATTCTTTACTCTGATGCAACAATATGTGACTGATTTGGCAAAGCAAGCGAGTATCCTGTTTATTTAATATTAGAAAATATACCAAGTTGGCTTTGTAATTTATCTGATTCTAAAGTCCTCTTGGGCTACCTCCCACTGTTAAAAGCAAAAACAATATCTCAAAAAAAATCAAAATCTTTTATACTTGCTAAATGATCTCTATATCTCCATGCATTAGACATTATGCTAGAACCGCTACTTGATTATAAAGAAAATGTATTTGATCTTAAAACAGACTATGGCAATCTTTGGTGCTATCCATTTATATCAACATTAATAGGAGATCTTCCAGAGCATTTATCATTAATACTGATATATAATTCAGTTAACTGTAAAAATCTCTGTCATCAATGTCTAGTGTTAAATGAGAAGTTAAATAACATTAAGTTAAGTAATAGTCAAATGATATTAAGAACTCCAAATTCAATGAAAAATATTGTAGAACAAGAACTTGTGCATCAATTTTCTTTATATAATATAGAAAATACACTCTGGAAATATCCATAAGTGTTTATTTAAACCTGACAAATAGAATTAAAATATGTTAAATAGCACTATTTAAATACTATTCAACATACTATTAACAATCTACTATTCAACATTATCATATTTGTGAAGCTACGAGATAATGTTAAATAGTAGGTTGTTAATAGCATATCGAATAGTATTCAAATAATACTATTTAATATACATATATTAATTTTTTACCGGTAATATATATTTATTTTTTTTTAATATTTTATTTAGTCAACTAGATATTTACTCAGCCACTGTTCCAGATAAAATGCATCATTTGGATTTAGAGCTGTTCAATTATCAGATAGTCTACACAAGAGAAATGCTAAAGGACTTTTGTGATCAAGCTGCAATTAATAAGCTTGATCAGCACCTATCGAATATTCAAAGGTTCCCAGGATTAAAAATATTTAGTGAGGGTCTAAAAAACATTAAACAATTTACAGCCGATGAGTATTGTAACATGATGAAAGCATTTTTATTTATTGTTGAGGGTTTAATAACAAAGCTTCAATAGAAGCAACTGTTGCAAAGCATTATGATAATGCATTAGTTGATATTTATTACCAATGAAATAAAATGTATTTATTTTGCCGAAAAGAATTTTTTCTTGAATCAGATCTTTTAAAACTTAAAGTATATATTTCATTATATTAATTAATAAATATACAATTATTTATATAACAAATAATTTAATCTATTTCTAGAATTTGATTATAAATTGGGCAAAGTTGTTTTTAAAACTTTTTATAAAGTATTCTCCTTCACAACTTAGACTATCATGTAATTGCAGCAATAAAGGAATATAGCGTGATTAACGGATTTACAGCAAAAACTTACGAAACTCTGTATAAAGATTACATAAAAAAACTATATAGAGCTAGCAATAAATGTGATACAACTGGGCAAATAATTCAAGCAGTTAGTATCAAGTTACTATTAAAATTAAAAGCTTTAATATGTTGAATATGCATAATCTAAACGTTATTAATATACTATTTAACATTATTATATACATATTCATAATAATATTAAATAGTATATTAAGTGACATCTGGATCATTTTAATTTTATTATATATATATATATATTTTTTTTTTTTTTAATATTTAGGTGACCTCTTAGGCCCCTGGCACTTTATTAGTTCAAACGGGTGGGCTGTCCGAAGACAGCTTACATATTACATCAGTATAACGA